AGCAATGAATTACCCAATCATTTTCGTCTGACATTGTATTGTCCATAGTGAGCAGGTGCACGAGGCAATGTGATCCGGTGTAATAGAGATAGCTCTAAAGCTCACAGAGGAAGTAAGCACAGATGGGGGGGGGGGGGCCTTCAAGAGGCCTGCAAGAGGCCATAAAGTTACTGAGCAATAGTTCAGTTCACAGCACGCTACACAAGTGCTAGTGTTGAAACAGATGGAGGCAGCCACTGGTAACCATGTTGAGTGGCTCCCAAATGATATTGCAATATGTCAGATAAGCATAAAGGCTATAATACAAAGTTAATACATATTTCTGATGGACAAGACTTTCAATAATAATAAAATAAAATTTTATAGCTGAACCAATATTCCTGTAACCTCTCCTGTGATAAGACAAACTGTACAACTGATTGACTGAACAGGGAAATGAGTGTCCATCACTTTGTAACTTTGTTTGGATAAGTGCTATACAAATGCAGTTATTATTATTATCTATTATCTAATGCTGCATTAGTAATGCAGGAACTACGCAGATTTACTGAAGCAATATCAATGAAAAGCTTCTCTGTTTTAAATCATCAAGTCATGTGTTCCTCTCTGTGGTATTGAATATCGGTTGTAAATCTCTCGTAAATGATTTAATCTGTATTCATGTAAGTAATTTCATTCTGCACAACCTCAAGATGTGTATCTCCATTTATTTCTCAGTATTGTTCTTGTCTGTGGCACCGGTGAACCAGTATGCAAACACAGCATCTGTGATAGCACAGCTTTGCAGAAGTTCCTGTTGTTTTCACACCTTGAGGACTCTAATAGATGCAGTGTGGAAGTTACGGAAGTGCAAACATCTCATTACAAATGTCAGACTTATGAGTGTTTTACCCCAGAATAAAAGAGCAACATTTGTTGGAGCACAAATGAGATAATGCTAACCCATAGGAGCAGCGATCATACTTTACGTTTAATGTAGGACTCAAAACTGAAACCTTAAAATGCCATGACATTCAATTTGCAGTGATTTTGAGGATTTTTCATTATTTAAAAGCATAAAGGAGGGATTATGGGAAATATATCGATGCCTGAAGCCTCAGATATGGAAGATATGTCGTGTTCTGCCTTATTTAAATTTTACAGTGTGTCTTATAAAGTGTGTTAGATCATGATAATGTTTTTAAGTTCACTGTGAAACCATGGCAATGAGTCACTAGAGGAACTGAAATTTCCAAATGTTACTTTTGATTCCTGGATCTACATGTTTGGTTGTCAGGTTTCTTAGTTGTCATATAGTTTTTATGCAGAGATTATTCCTCCCTTGAACTTTTTTGACTGAAAGTAGTTGGCATTGCCACAAAGAGGCCACTAACTCGAAAACCTGAGCCGTCAGAAGTCACATGGACGTCTGGTTGTCAAAAGACCTTAAGGATTAATAAAAGGAAAAGAGGACAGGGCTCAAATTACCAATTATCTTTTGGCCTCTTGAACATGAAATCTCTAGTCTGCCTGTAGGAAATGTCTTTAACCAGTTAACCCAAATAATAGCTGATTAGATTTCAGTGGTCACAGTTTAAAGGTCATGGACCTCATAGCAGTCTGTAAAAAAATGTATGACACCTGGTTGGCAGAGGATTACAAACACCGGGTGTAATTCTGCCTTTTTGCTCTTGCTCACCCATGATAATCTTGTCTCCCTCACTGGTCTTAGAAGGTGCTTCTTCCAGCACAATAGACGAAGATGGAGGATTCTCTGTGTCAGGGGCTGTTGGGAGGTGTAGTGTTTAACATGCACTCAACCTTTTGTAAATACTAAGGCCTAAGTGGCTCAGTGTGGAAAGTTGATTAAAAAGGCTCCCCTCCGGGGCTGGTAAAGCAGAATCGGCCGTAACATTAAATAACTTCTTGTACTTTTTCAGTCTTTCTCCATTTTGTTTTCTTGAATTTAGTAAAATGTTCTCTTTGTACTATATATTTTTGGGGGAAATACTGTCATTCATTTTAATACTGGAAACATTTGACTCTTCGTGTTACATCATCAGAATCAGTTTGGTTTTTGTCAAACTCCTGACATTTTACACCCACATCAAGAACTCCATATTAGCTGGAAACCCTCAAGAGACTCACAGACAAAAAGAAAAAAAAGACAGAACCCACAGTTTCCTGTGAAACATTTGCAACCATACCTGTCATAACCTTTTTTTTATGTCCAGTTCAGCTGAAACAACAATGAGCAAAAATAGTCGGTTAAGATAAGTTAAGATAGACTTTATTCATCCCTCTCACTACTTCTTTATACATATATTTTTTTCTTTACTTATTTTTCTTGCACTCTTTTTTTTTATAGAGCATAAAATGTATCCACTTAAAGGTACAGTGTGTGTTTAATTGCATGTTGCAGCTGAACACCCCTCACCTCACCCTCTCCATCCAAACATGAAGAAGAACCTGTGGTAGCTTCAGTTGTCATAAAAACTCAAAAGGTGTTTAGTTTGTCCAGTCTGGACTAATGTAAAAAACATGTCAGCCTCCGCAGAGTGGACCCCCTCGATGTAAATATAAAGTATTTAAATATAAAGGGCCTTTTCTGGGGTAAAGAAAACTACAATTCATACAATTTAGATGAAATGAACTAGTGAAAACATCATGAGGATTATTCTACATTAAATTTCTGCCAATTGTTCACTTTCACCAAATTCTTACACACTGGACCTTAAACAGGAATATATCAGGAAAATTTAATTCTAAATTTAACTTTAGCATCTAGCATATCGGAGTCCTACATACACTGTTAAATGTTGGAAAATTGGAAAAAGTGCTGGAAATAGTTCACTCAAAAAGAAATTCACTTAACACGTGGGCAATGAGGGGAAGTGAAAGAGAAAATATTTTAGTTTAGGGTGACTAAGTTTGAATGACTTATTGTAGCCATCACGTTTGTATGTCATGGAAAAGCAAAGAAAAGCAAAGCTTGCAAATCTGTTTTCAAAGATTCTAACAACACCTGAAACTGTGGTTTTCTTGAATGTGGTTTAGCAGTGTTTCTCTACACATGCAGCATGATCACACTCAGATTGGTGCGGTAGCTCCATCTGTTGGAAATATGAGCTTTCAGAGTGATGCTTTGAATAAAATACCTTTTCTGTTGCGGCTCACATTGTTTGGAACAATTTCCCTGAGGAGCTCCGCCTGGCAAACTCCTTCTCCTCTTTTAAATCTCTCTTAAAGACTTGTTTTATTGGTTTGCTTCCTCCTAGTTCTGATCTTACCATCTATTTAAATAGTTTTATTTTGTCTTGTTTTTACTCTATTCCCATCGGTAACATTTTTATTCCCATATCTGTGTTCGAATGATTGTTTCTTATTGTTTCATTTTATTTACCCTCAATTTTTGACTTGTAAGGTACCTTGTAACCATGTTTTAAAATGTGCTTTATAAATACATTTTATCATTATTATCATTATTAATCATCAGATCAATTTCTGATCTGTGTGTATGTGCCACAGTGGTGTAGTATATGGGATGTTGAACAATGTTATTTAGAGGAGAGTAAATTGTGTATTTATGTTTGATTGATATTCTATCTCAATCAATAACGTTTTATTTGTATTGCCCATATTCACAAATCGCAGTTTGTCTCATAGCGCTCTAACAAGGTGCGACATCCTCTGTTCTTACCCCATGATCAGCTGCTCCCGCAATCCCCCATCTAGCATCACGGTCACTCTCTGTATCTATCTGTATCTACAGGTGTGAGAACAACAGGGAGTGTGTCTCTGACAGCTGCAGGAAAACATCTGCTCCACCGCCCATTAGAATCTCTGTTGCATCCTGTACTTCCACTAGAGGGCAGTGTTTTTTGAGCCCGGCACATGTTTACGTCATCCGAGCAAAACCCGGAAAGAGGGACCACGAACTTCGGCGCTGTGTTTACGAAAAGAGCAGAGAAGTTCGTGAGTGTTCTACTTTTCCTGAAACTAGTTTGTATTCATCTTCTGTGAGCTAAACGAACAAGCAAAGCCTCGACGTATAACACGGAGTGATTATAAGTCAGTATTCGTCGGTTCGGGCTTTTCTCTAAAACGAAAGTAAAGTGCTGAGGACTGACAGGATGGACGAGGACATGCCGGAGGAGCCTTTACCCATGAGGCAGGAGCTGACCTGCCCCGTGTGTCAGGATATCTTCCGGGACCCTGTTCTGCTGCCCTGCACCCACAGCCTCTGCCGGGAGTGTCTGCAGTGCAGCCTGCAGGTGAGACGGAGCTGCCCGCTGTGCCGCGCCGAGCTGAGGGAGGGACAGGCCATCTCCAACCGGGGGCTGAGCAGCGCCTGCGAGGTGTTCCTGCGGGAGGCCGACTGGCTGCGCGGCCAGAGGCGGCCCGGAGATGACATCTGCGGGATACACCTGAAGCCGCTGGAGCTGTACTGCGAGAAGGACGAGGAGCCGGTGTGCGTGGACTGTGTCTCCCTGCACAACACGCACAGGCTGTGGCCGCTGAAAGAGGGAGCACCGCTGTGCAAGGTACAGTGCCCCCTGCAGGGTTCAGCCACTTCTGTCTTTCCCCCCCTTCTCTTTCTTCTTCCACTTCTTCTTCTTTTCTTTTTCCTCCTCCCTCCTCCTCTTCTTCTTTTTCCTCCTCCCTCCTTTCTTCTTGACTGGAGTGAGGAGCAGCAGACTGGCAGCGATGATTATTCCCTGATGTCTTAACACAACCTGACACATTTTCTAAAGTTATATTTTGCTTCTCATCTTTTAAGCCTGATATAAAAGGGATAGTTCACTGAAAAATGAAAATTCACTCATTATCTACTCCCCACCATGTCGATGGAGGGGTGGGTGAACACCAGTTACAAGCCTGAAATATCGTACTGCTGTTTGCCTTTGGTTAATTAATACTCTGCTCTCTTACTCGTACAGAATGAGCTCAAATACAGAGTGGACATCTTTGAAAAGAAAGTGGATTCGCACAGGAAGATGAAACACATATTCAGCAACACAGTGAAGCACATCAAGGTGAAAGTTTCTGTTATGTCTGATGGTGTCGACATTATTCAAGGTCTTTATTGTCACACAGGTTATACAAGAAAATCTTTGCAGGGAATCTCCATGATGAAGACAAAGTTAAGTAGCTAAAGTAAAGTGTTTAAAAGACAAAACAAGATGAAGTAATAGAATAAAATGTGTTTTTACTAAATGAATATATAATAATAAACTAATACTTCTTAGAATAGAATAGAAAGCCTTTAATGTCATCACACAATGAAGCATGGCGAAATTACAGCAGATATACTAATAAAAATAAACATGTTGACAGGACGTTAGGGTGTAGGATGACATTTATACATTACCTCAAAAACGATAAGGATAAAAAAGCACAGAATCAGGGAGTCAAGAGCCGCTGCGTCCATACGCGCCACCATCTTGGAATATATATCAGACTTGATAAGAACAATGTGTGTGTGTGTGTTTGGCATGAATTGTTCATGGTTAAGGTTAGAGATGAGGTTTTGATTAGACCGTCCACAGTGAATGGAAATCATTGCAAAGTCTCCACCACAGCTGCTCTGTACCTGACATCTACAGACGAGAGCGTTCTGAGTGACTCACACACTGCAAATCAACTGCAAAGTTATTGATGTAAATGTTCTCCTCTGGTTTAATGCAGGATCAAGCTGGGCAGGCGGAGAAACACATCAGGGCAGAGTTTGAGAGGCTCCGCGAAGCGCTTGTCACGGAGGAAGCCCGGCGTCTTCAAGTCCTCGCTACTGAGGAGGAGCAGAAGATTGCTGCCATAGAGGAGCTGATTACCAAGACAAACAACAACATCGTCGTTCTGAAAAAGCTCATCGACACTCTGAAGATGGAGATGGGCAACGAGGATCTTAACCTCGTGCAGGTAAAAGACTCCATAGTCATGAGACTTTTGTTTTGTCTACGATCTTTTAGTGTTTTACATGGATTAAAAAAATTGTGTAACTTGTCTCAGTCACTCTTTTTTTTTGTTTTAGAATTTCAAGAGTTTGAAAAAGAAGTAAGTAACTGCAAAATACAATGTTGCAAGTCATATATACTGTTATTTATCCAGGTTTCCACTGCTTTTTGTTCATGTCGAATGTCTCTCATTAACTTCACATATTGCTCTAGAGCCCACTGGCCTCATGAAGACCCTTGCATCCCTGATGACTCTCTTTTGAACATGGGCAATCATGTTGGGGATTTGAGCTTCAAAATCTGGAAGAATATGCAAACTCATGTCAAACACTGTGAGTACATTTCTCAGGGTGACCCACGATATTCTCTTCGCCTTCACATATGTGTCACTGTGCTCCAACACTGCAGTAAACCATTGCCAGTATGAAAAATTATACAAACAGCCAAGATACCAATCCTGCAAACATTCGGGTGGGACTCGTTAGCTGGGGCCACCCACATCATTTGTGTGTGCACTGCAAGTGAGCGCAGGTGGGGGAGACATAGGGCAGAGGCAAGGTTATAACATACAGTATTCACAATAGGACTTGAAGAAGCGATATGACAATTACTGCGTCTCTTCCTGTGTGTGCAGATCCAGTGGTGCTGAACCCTAACACAGCTTCTCCATGGCTGACTGTTAGCGCTGACCTGACCAGTATGAAGGAAAGCTCAGAGCGACTGACCATCCCGGAAAACCCGGAGCGCTTCGATCCCTGTATCTTTGTCCTGGGTGCTGAAGGTTACACCTCCGGGAAACACAGATGGGATGTCGTGGTTGGTGACAGCGCTAAATGGATTGTTGGAGTATGCAAAGAGTCGGTGGTCCGCAAAAAGAAGTTCACGGTGTCTACGAACCGCGGGGTGTGGTCCATAGGCCTCAGCAAAGGGGTGTACAATGTCCTTACACCTGAGCGTACAGAGCTGCAGGTGCAGCAGCGTCCAAAGAGGATTCGCATCAAGCTAAACATGGATAAGGGGGATGTGTCATTTTGGGATGGGGAGACAGAAAAGCATCTCATCAGTTTTACACACAACTTTAACGAGAGGATGTTTCCTATATTTGGCCCAGGGCTCCATAGTGCATCTATGACTCTGGTTCAAGGGAAAATTGCCGTGCACGCTTCATAATGGGCTATGATACTGCAGAGGGATGTTATTAGATCTAATAAGATGTTTCTAATAAAAACTAATTAGAAAGTTGAAAGAGATGAAATATAATAAAATTGGGGAAGACTGAGTATATGATGAATATAGATGTTTTACGTGATGTAATATGCACTAATTTGTAATTAATAGAGAAAACAGTACATTAATTAAATATTCACAAGAAAGCAATGATGAAGAGATGACGCTGACCATTCAGATTTGGCAACGGGGGCTAAAGTCCGAAATAAACATCTCAGAACTATGTCAGGAATGTAGCTTAAAGGATAATATGGAAAAACATAGGCAGCAAGTGAAGAAAGTCTTTGATAATAAACCTTCTAAAAGCGTTGCAGCTGCATGACTCATCAGTTACATTTGAGAAATGGCTTTCTCGATAATGACAGTGCACAAAAACTAAGATGTGATAAAATCATGTAGGTCAGTAAAGAGGAGGATTAAGCCCATTTATAGAAAAAAAATCTGCTGTAACTGAAAGAAACAGCATTAAATAATCTTTTGTCACTTTACTCTAGAGAGCTTGAGCGATATAAAAAGTGATGTTGGATGCTGCTGACCAGATCAGATACCAGCTCTCAATATCAACAAAAATTTGTGAAATTAACTATTCAAATGACTTTCTCCATAGCTACGCTTGTCTTTGAGAATTAAGCAATACATATATATATATATATTATATAGCCTCAATATTGCAAGAATCTTGCCTGGCTTGTTGATTTTTCAATAATTATATTGAGTTTCTGGTCATCACTCACCACAGTGAGGCCAGAGAGTTGTCACAGCGGTGACAGTACTGAAGGATGACAAACTGCTTTGACTGCTCTGAATCTGCACGTGCAGAAAACAGAACATTCTGTCTCCATATTGACATTCAATAAAAAATAATTAAAATCTAATTTGATTTGTGCACATCAATATTGATGACATGGGATTAACTTGCCATTGGTGCTTCCTCATTTCCAATTAGTGAAATTTGTGCCAGTGTTTCCTCAGTTTCTGTAAGATAAGATAAGAGATAAGATAAAGTCTTTTGATCCCACAAAGGGGAAATTTGCTTGATAAAGCAGCAGATAGTCAGAATGAAGTAGACAAGAGAACATGTGAATGTACAAAACAGGCAAATTAAATAGACATACAGAGAATGTGTTCAATAATATATATTCTCTATTATTTGTAGAGAATAATGAATTAGAACATTCATAGGTGCATCATGATGGACATTATTTACAACTGTCACACGTTTGTTTTTTCTTTGCTTTATATTGTGCCCTTTGTATTATATATAGTGTGCATGCATGTGAAAGAAGAAAGACACGATCGTCACTGCACAGATGAAACAAAGTAAATAAAAAGTTGCCAGGTACTTTGAGAGAATCGTATTTTGATTTTACTTGTTTCCTATTATTTGAATGACTGCGATCCAGATGTGTGTCTGTCGCCGCCGCTGGGGGCAGCATCGGGACCTGGTCTTTTGTGTTGCTAACAGCGCTCGCTGGTCTCCAGCCATAAACACCCAAACAACGGGCATCTGTCCGGGGGGGAGCAGCGCAGCATCGCGTCGGTGCTGTGGTTTCGTTATCAGCAGGTTTTCCTTCTTGAGTGACGCGTTGTAATCACACGGTGGCTGATTCCTCTGGCGTGACTCGCTGTGGCCACTGACGATCGCGCATCTGGATTTGGCTGAGCAGCCTCCGCTAGCTAGCATACAAGCTAACCAGTGTTGTCCCCCCCCCTCCTCCTCCCCCTCCGCTGCGGTTCATCCGACTCGGTCGCTCTCAGCTAAACGTCGCTGTCAGTCTCAGCTAACGACCAGCAGGCTCGTGTGGTGGCTGGCGCCGGAGGAGTGGACAAAAATGTAAATTACAATGGGGCCGAAGAGACGGGAACTGGTGAGTGTGATCATGCAAACTAACCGACTAACGGTACTCGGCTAGCTAGCTTAGCCACCCGTCACGTTAGCTTTGTTATGATAGCCTGCGGAGGAGCGCTTGTTGCTGCAACCAGCAAATCAGATTTATCCTCCTACGAACTGGGTGAAGGAAATGCAACAAGTAACGTCATGCTCGCGTTGGACATTTTGTGTTTAATACCCTGGCGCTAAGTGTGTGATAGTTTAACGCCACTGTTAGTGAGACTGGTGCACTGAGCTAACGCTACTGTACATGGTGCTAACTGTTGTTAGCTCCATCAGAATCGGTTTTCAGAGGCTACCTCAGAGTCTCAGAATGTGCATAATGTGATTAAGCTTTGTAACAGCTGTGATCTGGCAGCCATCGTGTCTTCTCTATTGTGCTGCGTGAAGGGCGTCGCTGTTAGTGGAGGGTTTACGCAGGTTTAAGCTGTATTCGTGGGATGATGATAAAGTCAGCAAACGAGAACCATGTAAACGGGCCACATGAGGTTTGTTTGTGGGATCACTAGGCTGTTATATTTCCATTAGAAACAATCCTCCATGTTCTGCCAGCGTAGCCTCTTTGTCGTATGTAGTAGATCCCGTTATTTTCTGCATGTTCTGGTGCAAATGCGTCTGCAAGGACACACACCCAAGTATTCTCTCCCCCACATTTTGCCTCCCATCCTGCAGGCGGTGCCAGTGATGGCCTCTCCCCTCCCTGTCTCGTTCATCCTGGGGTTCCTGCTGCTGGCAAAGTCGCCCTTGTGCCAGGCAGGGGACTGCAAGGGCCATCGTCAGGTGCTGAGGGGAACACCAGGATATGTCACTGATGGCCCAGGAAACTACTCTGTCAATGGGAACTGCGAGTGGCTAATCAAAGGTATGGTTAGCGAGATAAGATGTTGTCTTGGTCATGAGAAATTTGATTTATTGAGAACTGACTTAAGCTGTTTTCAGACATTTTCCAGAGGGGGTGTATGTTAGACAGCAAATGTCTGAGCCAGTTGCTGCAGAAAGTTTCTGGATTTTTTTTCCTGCCAAGGCAAATGCTGGTGTTCATAATTTACACATCATCTCCTTCGTGCACTTCCCAGACGCCACCACAGGCTTAAATGTTCTAGACCTTTCCCTGTTGTAAATACATTCAACCCAGACAACCTCCTGCTACATTCCTCATATGTGAAAGTCAAACTCCCAATGTTCCTGACATTTTCTGGAGTTCATGTCTGAAAATAGCTCTACAGCCAGAGGTGAATGTTAGTTTGAAATAACTGACTCAGATATTTACCACCTGTTTTATATCTTTCAGCTCCCAGCAACAGTCACCGCATCGTCTTGAATTTCACCTTCATGGACACAGAGTGTACCTATGATTACCTCTTTGTGTATGATGGTGACTCCTACCAGAGCCCTCTCCTAGCCAGTCTGAGTGGCAACACTCTGCCTCAACCCATTGAAGCCAAGTCTGGCAAGGTAACTTACTAAGACTTGTTTAATATGACGCTGAAGATTTGTAACTGAGGAAAATAACGTAACTTTGTACCCGTTATTTAATCTCCTTTTTCCAGATGCTGCTTCATCTCTTCAGTGATGCTAATTACAACCTCCTTGGTTTCAATGCAACGTACACCTTCTCTTTGTGCGCTGGAGCGTGTGGTGGTCATGGCCGCTGTGATTCCTCGACATCAAAGTGCCAATGCCATCAGGATTGGGGAGGAGCAGCGTGTACAACCCCTCTGTGCTCCAAAGACTGTTCTGTGAATGGCCAGTGTGACAAGGTAAGAGTAGATTTAATGAACACACAAAGCAAATAGTCTTAAATCAAGTACACCTTGATTATGACCTTGTGCAGCTTATTGAAACATTTATTTCTGGTCTTCAACTGTTCTATTTCTTTGTGTGTTATCTCAGAAAGGAGAGCGCTGCCTGTGCAACGCAGGCTTCCTTGGTCATAGCTGCCAGCTTGATCTCCATGATGACAACGGGGTGGGGCAGTGGTGGCGTGTGAGTGAAGGAAACCCCTACACGCCACCCAGGACAGGTTCTGCTGGCGTGTATCTATCCTCCACTGCCGCCATGTACTTGTTTGGAGGTGAGAGCGACACACTTCCAATTTCCTTTTATGTTTTTTAAATAAATGGTTGTAAACAGCTAATATGTAGTGATAACCCCCCCCCCCACACCTTTCAATCACACTTGTCAGTTAATTCCTCCATGACGTGGAACATTTATTACATTTTAACTGGTAAAACTGTTGAATGCTTTAGAATAATTTTATTTTATGTTTAAAGAACTTTAATACTGCTGTTCTCCAGTGTCAGTGTTTGGGATCTTTAATGTCAATAGTGTATGTTTGATTATTCCTTCTTTTTCCTGCAGGGTTTGATCTGAACAGAGCTCTCGGTGACCTGATCAAATACAATTTCACGTCCAACCAATGGGAAAGCAGGTCTTACGGTCACTATCCTGTAAGTGGTTTTTGAATATACACAAGAAACCTGGTTTCCTTAAACACTGTCCACCACCACAGCTAGCATTTTGCTAAGGAATAATCTCTTGTCAGAATATTAAAAGGAAACAAAACGGTCGTAGCAAGTGTGGTAATGAACTTAAGCTGAAATATACAGATCTCACAAAAGTTGGATTCCACCACTGGAAACTCAGATACACTTGTACATTATTGTCACCACAGAGCCTGTCTCCTTGTTGTGCTTTCATTCAAGATAACATGGCGACAAAACTCCACGCCATCATATGATGACGGCAGTTAAAGCACAGCAGTGATTTAAAGTAGAGTATGAATCTGATTATTGACCAAGTGTGCAAATGAAGGTTTCTTGATTTTCCCCAGACATCTGTATTATTTGCACACATGTAAACATAAATATAAACATAAACTTTGATAAAGTGATCCCATGTATTATTTTTCACCTCCTAATCATTCCCTTTCTTCTTGCACTCTTTGGCTCTCCTGTGTTTTCAGGTTGCTCGTCATTCCCACACAGCAGTGGAATGGATGGGTAACATGGTCATCTTTGGTGGAGAGCTCGCCAACGGCTCCCTGGCCAGTGATGTCTGGATGTATCGCCCACTTCAAGATGACTGGCAACAGCTCGGCTTTTCAAGTACACGTGGGGCTCCTAGACTCGCTAATCACGCTGCAGCTGTAGTAGAAGATTATCTTTACATTTTTGGAGGTAGGTTTCACATTTTGTTGTCACTTTGCAGTCTGTGTTTGGATTGGCATTCATATATACCTTTAAAAACAATCATATCTTAACTTATTTCCCAGGTCGCACTGAGGAGGATATGTTTTCCTCTTCTCTGTATCGGTTCGGCCTGCGTGGTTCTGGGCGGTGGGAGACGGTTCAGCCCACTGGTGGGAAACCCCCAGCCACCGCTGGTCACTCCATGGTGTTCCACAGCCCCTCCAGGACATTGCTGGTCTATGGAGGCCACCGCCCCACGACCGCCAGGTAGACACCTTTTTCATATATGAGTACGATGGATATATGACATCTATGACTGTAATGGATGCATCCTATTTGTAATCAATCAAGTATTAATCCAAGCCATAGTAAAACAAGTTGTTACCCAATGAGCTTTTTGAGAATAATTCCACAAGTAAATCCCAAACTATTGAGAATCTTTATAAATACTTGATGTGTCGTTGCTGTGTGTTTTTCCTCAGGTTTAGTGTGAGGGTGAACAACACTGATGTGTTCCACGTGGACAGACGGTTTTGGACATCCTTCCGTTCCCGTTTCCCAGCAACAGGCCCCAGAGAGAGAGCTTTCCACTCAGCCACTGTCATTGGAAATTACATGGTGGTCTATGGTGAGCAGCGACAGAATTACAGACACAGTTCATTCAGGGAAATCTTGTGTATATTTATCCTCCTTTCTTCCTGCCTCTCTCTCCAGGGGGTAATGTACATATTCACTACCATGAGGAGAAGTGCTATGATGAGGAGATCTTCTTCTACCATCTGGGTTGTCATCAGTGGGTGTCTACTGGGGAGAGATGGTCACTCCGTGAGTTTTATCAGGCGTTTATCTTCTGTCACAACTCACTCACTGAGACACAACTTTCATTTATAACCAATTTTTACTTGCATACCAATGCACAGTTACAAAAATGTAATGTATTCAAAGGTGGGGATGCAGTGCGGGGGCGTTACTCGCATGTTGCTGCTGTGATGGAAGGACGAGTGCTGCTGGTTGCTGGGGGTTACAGTAGTGTTGCCCGTGCAGACCTGGTGGCTTACAAAGTTCCGCTGTTCGTCAGTAGTGATCAAGGTGACAGGGTGAGTAATAATGTCATTAAACAATCATATCACTGAAAAGACAAATATGAATTGTTAGATACTAAAATTATTGTTTGTGTGTGTGTTGCCTTCCCAGGATGCTGTTTGTGCTGAGGCTCTAGATGAAAGCATGTGCCTCAAGAACCCAGAGTGCAGCTGGTGTGAAGGCCGCTGTCGAGAGTACCAACCCACTAATCCGGTAACACATCCTCAACACCACCTTGAAACTTACATCTCTGTCAGATCCCTTCTGGTTTTAACTGATGAATTCAAATGAATTGTATAATACTGAATGTTTTCTTGTATCCATTCAGACACTATCAGACTCCCAAATTATTTTTATCACCGTAATGTGTCTGTATGAATGTGCGCCAGGATTCCCGCTGCAATTTATAACCTTGGTTTTTGTTTACAGTGTGGCAGTACTGGTTGCCTGGGCTTGGCGCGCTTCCTGTCTGATTGCCAGTCCTGTCTCGTGTTCAGTGGCACCCCAGCCTTTCTGGCCCGTGCCCCTGGTGAATTTGGCTGGTGTGTTCAGAATGAGTCCTGTCTACCAGTGTCAGGTGAGATGCAGGGAGGGAGGAAGGAGGGCAGAAGAGAAGGGCTAAGCCTCTACGGAGAAAAAAAATGATGTTGGGAGTTGACATGGGAGGGACTAGACCCTTGTTGGGCGTGTTTCAGAGATGGAGCACAATGACTTGACTGCAACCAGCGAAGACTGGACAGGCTGCTCAGATGATAATTTGATTTGGCTGTCCAATCACCGTTTTTTGGTGCAGTGCAGTCATGTGTTGTTACTCCTTTTGAACACACGTCACACAAAAGTCACAGATCACATCTGTTTCACTACAGTAGTACACTTTAGGAAACTGCTGTATTATGAGCTATCATGAGGTCAGATGTGTTTTTTGTTTGCTGACCTCTCCCTCTCGGTCTCACAGAGCGAAGTGCGTGCCGTGTGGACCAGATCTCAGGGGCGTACGGCTGGTGGGGGGAGCGTACCCTTTTCCTAACCTCCCTCCACTCCTGTCGCACCGAGAACTTTGTCCCGGGACTGCACCTGCTCACCTTCCAGCACCCCCGCAACGACTCCCAGCCTGACAAGGTACGGAGGCCAAATCTCAAGTGCTAACTGTACTAGTTGTGGTTGTAACTACTTCCCTCTCTGCTTATACTTATCCCTCCTTCCTTCCTCCAAAATTACTTTGACACTTTGACCCCACTGCAGTGATCCACGCTTACATTTTGATTCTTTCTCATTTATTGTTCATTTCTCCTTTGTGCTCTTGGCTTTTTTAACCTCTTGACTCAAGCGTTTACTTCTCTGTTTTTTTGTCTGTGCTTATCTGCAATGCTCTCATAGAGAAGATTCCCTTTTTAATTAGTATGTCAAACTTGTGGAGCAGTTTGTAGAGAATAGTGCTTTTGTTGATGTTTTTCCACTTCCATCCATCCTCTACCTTCCTTCATCCTCCTCACCCCTTCGCCAGGTTTCCATCCTCCGCAGCACCACCATCACCCTTAGCCCCACCACAGAAATGAACGTAGCCCTACAGTTCAGGGGCTTCATCCACCCATTGTGGGGTGCTCCTCCACCTGCAACCCCTCCCACCGATACTGTCTCCATGTGGGCTCGCATCCAGAGGCTCCATTTTGAGGCTCAAATGGCATCAGGTCCCAACTCAAGCCAGCTGGTGAGGGAAAGTTGAAAATTGTTCTTCTTTAATCGTTTTTCAGTTGAATTATTTTCCTATTTATGAAAGATTATGACATTTTTGGAATGCTAAATTAATTTAAAAGATATGGGCAAAATTTAAAATGAAATAACAAATATGCATTTAAATAGCAGCATTTTTACTTAAGACATCTGCTCTCTTTCTTTCTTCCTGATTCCTAATTAGGAGGTGGTGGGTCGTTGGGCAGCCCAGCAGGAGAAGGACTTGAAGCCTCTGAGTCGCACAGATGGCAGTAAACTGTTCTCTAACCTGACCAGGGGCAACCATTACCTTGTTCAGGCTGAGGGTTACCTTAATAACTCGGGTTCGGGACAAACCAGTGAGATGGCTCTGATCTGGAACAGAACATTGCCTGGAGGGAGTGTGAGTACTGACACAGTTTTTTTTTTTATAGCAACAAGTATGCTAAGTTATGAAAATCGACAAATAAAAATAAAACTTTAAGTTGTTTAAGCTTTTTCTGCCCCATTTACATTTCAGTTATTTTTCTGTGCAAAGAGATTCCAACAAAAGCTAAATGATATGCTTTTCCCGATAACTTGCTCTCCCTCTAGGAAATCTCCTTCCTGTTCTTGGAGCCGTACCGCTCAGGTTCCTGCTCAGTGTACATGTCCTGTCTGGCGTGTCTGTCCGACCAGTCTTGTGGCTGGTGTCCGTCTTTGTCCCGGTGCCTGCTGCGGGACGGCCCAGACCTTGAATCCTGCCCCGAGAGAGAGATGGGTGAGGAAAATGAAGATCAACGCCATCTGCTGTTGTCACCCCAGCAGTGCACCTTGTGTGAAGAGTACAGAGACTGCTCTGCTTGTACTCAGGTACAACACTGATAATGACACATCAAAGTTTTCACATAGAGGTTCTCCATGGTGCTCATATTGTTTAGCATAATTAAGGGGCTGCACTATTCCCGACTCATGCAAAGCCAACTTTGGTCGACAGGATCCTTATTGTGAGTGGCAGATAAACTCCAGCAAGAAAGGAGACTACCAGTGCAGTCGACGGGGAAGACTGGATGGATCCATACGTGACCCAAGAGGGTGTCCTCGAGTCTGCAACCAGTGAGTGACAAAGATTTTTCAGATCATACATTATCTCCACAAGAACCTCCTATTCACCCTTATTTCCTCCCCTCTCTGGTTAAATCTTTGTCATGTTAAGGAGAAAGACGTGTGGTGAGTGCCTCTCTAACTCCAGCCAGTGTGCATGGTGTGAGTCAGCCCAGGCCTGCTTCTATTTTGCTGCCTACCTCACAAAATACCCCTATGGAGAGTGCAGAGACTGGTACGACAGGTAAAAAGAGGACATTTTTTAAAATATCTTCTTGTTGTATTTTTAGCTGAGAGTTAATGCAGATAATAGTTACTTGCTGTTACACTTTAGTTTCCTGTTCTTTAAGAACATATACAGCAGTACACTCCTAGTACTTAATAAAATAAGATAGAGTTAGAGTTTTCTGAGAGATATTTGACACATTTTTTCAGTCATTGAATTGAAATGAACCTTAGATAAATCATAATAATAATTGTATCATTCTTTCTTTTCTTACCTCTCAGCGTTCATTCGGTTCCCCAGTGTAAACAGTGTTCAGCTTTGAACACATGCACGGACTGTCTGCGAATATTCCAGTGTGGCTGGTGTGGTGACTACAACAATCCCACAATTGGAAAGTAAGTAAATACATAGACGAGTAGCCTGTCCACAGAAAATACATGGAGTGCCAGCATATCACTGATTTAATCACTTGTCAATAACATCAATCTTTTTTTTATTATCACATTGCAGACATGTTACTAGTTGTTGTTTTGACTGTGATTTCCATGTATTTATTCTGTGCTTTATGTTCATCTTCAGATGTTTGAGAGGAGACTGGGCTGGAATGGACGATCCCTCTGTGTATAACTGCAGTGTGGCTGTGGCTGAAGCACGGGCTGCCAAGTACGTTATCTCTTGTTTCACTGATGTAAAGCAAGAATCTCTCTCTTCTACTACAACTTCTTCATGAAGTTGTAGCTAAATGGATAGATGGATATAGTAGACCTGTCCAAACTCATGTCCTTATCCTGCTCTTTCAGCCCTGAGCCCCAGACCTCAGCCCCGCCTCGACCCCTGGAAATGGAGATGGAGCTGGAGCTCTTGGAAGACGAAGAGCAAGATGCAATCTGGTCCTACCCCACCTGCCCAGATGTTGAGGAATGTAGACTGGGTCTCCACAACTGTCACCTTTTCGCCACTTGCATTAACACTCCCACCTCCTACGAGTGCCACTGTGAGAGAGGATACACAGGGGATGGCACATTGCACTGCAACCAGACGTAAGAGTCTTCACCTAAAGTGTGTTACTTTTGGGATCATGCTTCCACTGTCAGGATATTTAAAAACATCCCTCTCTCTAATTTACTCCCTCTTACAGGTGCTACAATGAATGTCGCGAGGGTCAATGCAGTGGGAGTCCACGATTTGAGTGCGAGTGTTCCCTGGGCTGGACGTCTGACCCCGCCACCCTGGTTCTGAGTGGTGTTGAATGTGATGTGGATTGTGGCTGCAACTTCCACTCCACCTGTATTACTGCTCCGGGTATCTGTGACGAATGTCAGGGTGAGACATTAATAGAAGGATTTCAGTCACGTGTTTTTAAGTAATGCTAAACCAGGGCAAGATAAATGTCCTCCTTACTTAAATTATCGAGTAAAACATAAACTCCATTGGTAGTTTGAAATGCGCTGTGTTGACAACTTCCTCTGTCTCTCAGATTGGACGACAGGGCCTCACTGTGAGCACTGCCGTCCAGGAAGCTTTGGTTCAGCCCTGGCTGGTGGCAGCGGCTGTGTTCCTTGTGAGTGCAATGGCCATGGCGACCCAGTCCAGGGCTACTGTCACAACCAGACAGGCCAATGCTACTGCACCCACAACACTCAGGGACCACACTGCGAGTCATGTCTGCCTGGTTACTATGGAGACCCCAGGTAAGGAGATATTCACCATATAATTGAAGTTTAAGTCTTAATTTCTTTGTGTCTAAAACAGAGGGAAAATGTTCTGGTTGATTTTTTTTCATCATGACTTTCTCCTTCCAATAGGAACAACGGCACATGCTACCGCCAGTGCCAGGGCCGTTCTGTACTGCTCTCCCCCACCTCGTCGTCCACCATGCCTCTCTCCTCGTCGCTGGGATGGCGAAGTGGCACAGAAGGGAAAGGAGGACTTTCTCATTGTCTGTGGGTTCTGTCTGTGACTGAGAACCTGGCACCTTGTATGCCCAGACAGCTGTGTCCCCCTGTAGCACTCACGCTACATCCAGACTCCCACACATTTTGTAAAGTGAGTACAAACATTCCTGGATCATACAAATTTAACATGTTAGCTGTGCTGTTGCATCAAAAATGGTTTTCATTCCCTTAACTGTCTCCATTGTATTCCCTTTACTTTATCTTGCAGAGCTCATATGTCTATGTGTTTGATGGCCTTCCTCGGTTTCTGGCCAATGGAGTTGTACATTCAGACCACAACCTGATTGGAGCATTTTGTGGCACGACAAGGACCCAGCCTATCACAGTGGAGGCAACCTCAGGTATCATTCAAACCTAATCACTTTCATTTATGGCATTGGCTTAACCTACTTATTCACTATCAAGCACACTATTCTCAGTGTAACCCCAATGTTGGTAGTTCCCCTTAACTTAAAGTTACTTTCACATTATTGTACTTTCTCTTTCACCACCAGGTGTGATTTCAGTCTACTTTGAGGCCAACGTCTCGTCGAACAAACCTCAAGGCTTCAATGCATCTTTCTGGGTGCGGCGCTGTCACCAAAGCTCTGACGAAGGTGATGAGGGGTCGCTTGTGTGTCCCGGTGGAGCACAGTGCCAAAGTGGACTCTGCCAGTGCCCGAAGGGATACGGGGGACCCCACTGTGATCGGCCCATTTGCTCTCAGGATTGTGGAATAGCAGAGGGAAGAGGAGCTTGTAATACGGTAAGAGTTGTGATGATTTATGTTCCATGTTGTTTAAAATATCGCAGATTGACAATTTATATCAGAGACTAGAAGTGTTCGGCAATGAATAAAATACACATTTTGTTTGAGCGCCAGGTTGAGCTTTAGGAATTTTAAATGATTATGTTTTTCTGCATCACTAACCAACATATGTTGTTTGTGTCAGTCTCTGGGAGTGTGTGTGTGCTCAGACGGCTGGGCTGGCTCAGACTGCTCTGTTCCTCGAGACTCCAACAGCCTAGTCTGGGAAACACTGCTGGACACACAACTGACAGTGGTAAGGGCACAACCCAATATAGTGTATAGAGTTGAAGAATTTTACACAGAAACACTCTCTCATGTGCACTGTCGCTCCGCAGAATCAGGCCCACAGGTTCCTCCACAGGATGGGCCACTCTCTGCTGTCTGAACCACAGGGCAATCTCTGGATGTATGGAGGGCTCTCTCTGTCAGAGGGCATCCTGGGAAATGTCTACAGGTAGGGACACATTGAAGGTGTTATTGTACTCTATGCATACTACACATGTACTGTCTTACACATTTTGTCTCTGGTCATTGAAGATATTCTGTGTTGGAGCGTCGTTGGACCCAAATGTTGACAAGCTCTGCCGAAGAGGGCTCGACTCCCAGCCCTCGCTATCACCACTCCTCTGCACTGCTGACCAGTCATGACTTGGGTTCTGGAAGCCACGGAGCCAGTCACAGTTTCATGTTGGTGGTCGGTGGTGTCACTCAAAATGGCGTTGCCATGGATACTTGGAGTCTCAACCTCAGCAGTTTAGTGTGGAGGGAACACAAGGTTCGGATTAGATTAAACATAGAATATCTGAAAAATCCAATGAGTCTTTTTTGTCTACCTAACAAATTAATTCATTAATTAATTTCCTCTTTAACCTTTGACAGAACTCTGTGCTGCCCCCGGTGGCAGGTCACACGCTGACTGTACGCCGAGACTCCTCAGTGCTTTTGATTGGAGGTTACTCTCCAGAGAACGGCTTCAACCACCATCTACTGGAGTTCAGCCCTCATTCTGGGAACTGGACCATTGCCCTACACACTGGCACACCACCTACAGGTTTTATAGACTCTATTTTCTATGTTTTGTAATATTGTTGTTTATTGATTTTTATTTAGTCATTCATAAATCGACCACAGACAAATTCAGGACATTTAAATAAATGTAACAAATAACCTTTTTGTTTCTTTTTGCTGTTCATTCAGGTTTATATGGCCATTCAGCAGTCTATCATGAGCAGACCGATGCCATCTATGTATTTGGAGGCTACCGCTTTCATGTGGAGACAGTAGAGCCCTCAGGCGAGCTCTATAGTCTGTACTACCCCAACCTCACCTGGTCTCTGCTGGTCCCCTCGCAGGGTAACAAGGTAAGAAGCTGACCTCCCCTCTGTCACCTCTTCCAGGTCAGTTTTATAGACAAGCCAGGCAGCTGTCCTCTATCTGTACCATGCATAAAGATAACTTACCTATTCTTTCTGTATCATGTCATTATTTTGCAGCCACTGTCCCGTTTCTTCCACACTGCAGCCCTGATCAAAGACACCATGGTCATCGTTGGAGGAAGGACAGAAGCAGAAGACTACAGCAACTCGGTGTCTCTGTATCAGATCAACTGTAACACTTGGATACAACCAGGTGACCATCTCAGTGTCATCCTGCATCTTCAGTCAATCATAATTTACCATACCATTGCCCACTCACATTTCATCTCTTTCCCTCAGTCTCAGCTATAGGAGATCCAGTAAATCGTTCAGTGTCTCTTGCTATGACAAGCTGGGATGGCTGTCTCTTCCTGTCAGGAGGTTTCAATGGCGTCACACTGGGCAGACTTCTAACCCTGACTGTGCCCTCTGACCCCTGTGGGCTGCTGCCAACACCAGAGGCCTGCAACAGCACCACAGGCAGCTGTGTTTGGTGTAGGGGAAGCTGTGCTGCTTCTGATACTGCTGAGAGGTACCATATTTGGCTAAAGCCAGTGAATAAATTGTACTCTGTTCTTGAGACAGAAGTTATGTGCACCTAACAAAAATCTATCACTTCTGCTCTCTATCAGAATGGGCTGTTTCACTGGCCAGTCTCCCTGTTCCCCAACCCCCCGTCAGCCAGACCAGTGTCGAAGACTGAAAACCTGCAGTGAATGCCTGGCTCGTCACCCCAAGACGTTCTCTAGTCAATCACAGGTAACATTCAACGTGCTCTCCTCACTCGCTTGAAGTGGCACTGTGACTGCCTGTCAACTAAAATCTGTTCTTTGTTAAATTTTCCAGGCTGCTCTACAGTGTAAGTGGTGCACAAACTGCCCGGAGGGGGCCTGTATCAGCAGCTCTGTTAGCTGTACGTCTGAACACGACTGTCGGATCAACCAGAGGGAGATCTTTCTGTCCAGCAACTGCACTGAGACCAGCTGCGAGGCTTCTGACTGCCCCAAGTGTACTGCTTCAGGAAAATGCATGTGGACCCGCCAATTCAAACGTACAGGTACAGGGAGTGGTGTTGTCAAGCCCTGAATTCCTTTAATTTCAGAGCTGATAAATAAGTCGATTCCTTAATCTCATCTTGTACCAAATGGATAAATTATTACTTTGGAGATAATAATGCCCCTCAAATAAAATAGCCCTCTAAGTTCCATTTGAGTTCTGTAAATCTAGATTTAGAGCTTTAACTAAAACAGAAGACTGTGTTGTGATATCTCCAGGTGAGACCAGGCGCATCCTGAGTGTGAACCCCACCTATGACTGGACGTGTTTCAGCTACGCCTTGCTCAACGTCTCACCCATGCAGGTGGAGTCTTCTCCCCCTCTGCCATGCCCCCCCCCTTGTCACACACTTCATAACTGCAGCCTCTGTCTGGGCTCGAGAGGCTCTGATGGGGGCTGGCAGCACTGTGTGTGGAGCATGGCACTGCAGCAGGTATGACTGCCCTGCAAGAGCTTTACTTTTTAATTTTTTTTATCAACATGTTCCATGGCAATCAACCTCTCTCCTCTTCTTCCAGTGCATGAGTCCATCTTTTGTGCCCCTGCGATGTGAGGCCGGTCAGTGTGGTCGTCTGCTCTCTGGGGGGGACTCTTGCTCTCCTCAGTGCTCCCAGCTCGACCAGTGCTCCCACTGCATTGCCAGGCCTCAGTGTGGCTGGTGTGCTAGTCGTGGGGGCAACGGGGCTGGACGTTGTCTGCAAGGAGGACTTGATGGTGAGAAATATGTTTTCGATTGATTCACTCAAAGGCAGCTGATGATGGTAGATGTTACGACATCTTCTTACTTTCTTAATGTTTCTGTTTTTAACCCCTGATTCCACTCACTTTCTACTCTTCTTTATTCCTAGGGGTTAGTGAGGGTGTTTGCCCCCTGAGAAACAGCAGCTGGTCTTTCCTCCACTGTCCAGAGGAGGATGAGTGTGCAAACAGCCATCACCACTGCAACAGCACCCAGGACTGCCACAATCTACCCCAGGGGTATCACTGCACCTGCAAGCAGGGTTACATTCTCAGCAGGTGACTTAACATTTATTGCCTCAGGCACTGAATACACCAGGATGACATAAACTTCTTCAGTGTTTTCCATAGTAATTTGACAGGTTTATCATCTCTCTGTGGTTTTCTTTTGTTCAGTATTTCTGGTCAGTGTGAGCCAGTGTGTGCACAAGGCTGTGTGAATGGGACGTGTGAGTCCCCGGGAGTTTGCCGGTGTCACTTTGGTTTTGTGGGAGATAACTGCTCCTCTCAGTGCAGCTGCAACAAACACAGCAACTGTGCTGGTGTTAACAAGCCAGATGTTTGTCTCGAGTGCCACAATAACACCATAGTAAGTGCTTCTAGAAGTATACATCCACAAACTAAATACTTGTTTCTTTTCCACATTCATTTTTATTTATTGATTTCTGCTTCCCCTAATTCCAGGGTAAGCACTGTGAGAAGTGTAAGCCACTGTTTGTGGGCTCTGCCAAGGGGGGAGGAACTTGTCGTCCATGTCGAGAGTTTTGCAGGGGGAACAGTGCTGTGTGTCTGTCCCGGGACGAACATAAGAAGGCCCTTGAAAACCCACGGCTCTATCCTCTGGACCCCAACAGTGTAAGTGTCCTTTGGGCCTCATGGGTCACGTAAATGCTTACTATTTTATCATGGATATTGTCTTTATTCCAACTCCCTGTAAGTGTCAGACATCAATCTCCATCTTTCTCTTCATCAGATTCAGAACCGGGTGTCTGAGGGTCCAACAGAAGAGAATGCTGTGTGTGTGAACTGCCAGAACAACAGTGTTGGGGACAAGTGTGAGAGCTGCCTCAGTGGCTACTTCCTGCTGCAGGGAAAGTGTGAGAAGTGAGCAACATTTTCTGAGTACTTTCCTAAAGCGACATTACAAAGCAACAAAACAACTTTTTATTTACCATCCCATCAAAGTTTTTTTGTCTAAACCTATAAAAATAATAGATTAATTGAGACAAAAAGAAAATGGGTACAAATATTTCCAGAAGAAACAGACTTTTTAACTATTTGGCTTTTTCTTAGACATATGTAAGTCATTCGCAGGATCTGATTTTCTCCTCTTTGCAGGTGTCAGTGTAATGGCCATGCAGACACATGTAATGAACATGATGGCACTGGTTGCCCCTGTCAAAACAACACAGAGACCTCCTCGTGTCTGAGTAGCCCTCAGAGTGACCGGAAAGACTGCTACAGGCAACAGGTACGCACACGCTATAAATAATATCAAATATAAAATATGCGGGTGTCTCGTTTGATGTCTTCTTTAATTTCCCTACTATTTGGTAATTAAATCAAAATTTAAAACCTTTTCGTTCAAATTGTTCCTCTTACATTTAGTGTGCCAAGTGCAAAGACTCCTTCAATGGAACACCGGTGAATGGGCGTCAGTGCTACCGTCAGTTCAACGTGGACACCGAGTGCTGCTTTGACCCCACGTCCCAGACCAACTGCTTCCATGATCCCGCCATTCGCAACCTGCCCAGGGGGCGGACAGTGTTTTTCGCAGCCCAGCCAAAGTTCACCAATGTAGACATTCGGGTTACCATTGATGTCACCTTCGGTGAGGTGGAGGTGTATGTGTCCAACTCTCATGACACTTTCATAGTAGATGTGGACAGGTATTCAGGGATTCACACCATCAAGATCGAGGAGGAATCAGCAACTCGGGGAACAACAGCCGGGATAGATAAGGATTCACCTCCGTCCCCTATTAAGGTGTTTGCCAATGCTTCTTCCAGTCTCGGAGGTCCCGTGCTTTCCCACAACCCACTGCAGCTGCAAGCAAAACCTCCAGGGGCTGACAGAGAAATCACGGAGGAGCGGGCTGAAGGACTTATCACCTACATCACTGTTGGGAAACCACAGACGGTGCTAATCGTACGTGGTGTTCGAGATCGAGTGGTGATCACTTTCCCCCACGAGGTGCACTCCCTGAAATCCAGCCGCTTCTACATTGCTTTAAGAGGTCTGGGAACTGACAACAAGCAGGGAGAGTCCCAGGGTCTGCTCTTTCTACGACAGGACCAAGCCCACATCGATCTTTTTGTCTTCTTCTCTGTTTTCTTCTCCTGTTTTTTCCTCTTCCTGTCTGTCTGCGTCCTCCTGTGGAAGGTCAAGCAGTTCCTGGACTTCCGTCGCGAGCAGCGTCGCCACATTCAAGAGATGACCAAGATGGCATCAAGACCCTTTGCTAAACTCACTATATACCTTGAACCAGAGGAGCCTCAGCTTATCTATCTGCCTTCATCTGGAGGAGGGGTTGGGGGTAGCACTGTATCACTTGCTCATGCCCGCACAGGCAAGTTGGGAGGAGTGGTGGTGGGCCAGAGGGGCAGGGCAGGAGCTGTCTCCTACAAACATGACCCGGGCTCCGGACCCACAGCCCACCACCACCATCACCTTACCCTGGGTGGAGGAGGCAACAGCGGCCAGCACTTGCCGCTGCACTACCTGAATACCCACCACTATGCCAGCACCACCACTGGCACCCCTGCCTCACATCATCATCATCCATCCACGTACAGTGGCTACCAGCATTTTTGCCGCTCCGACCCCTTCCTCTCTCAGCTCATGGGCTTTTCCTACTCCACCTTTAAGGTGGGACCCATCACGCTTGAGCCCACAGATGACGGCATGGCTGGGGTGGCCACTGTCCTGTTCCAGCTGCCCGGGGGTGTCTTGGCTCCAAATCGTGCCTGTCTGGGCTCTGCACTGGTTACTTTGCGTCAGAACTTGCAGGAGTACTGTGGTCACGGCAGTGGAGGGGGCCACCCAGGGGCGGGAGCAGGGCGCAAGGGGCTTCTAGGGCATCAGCACCTGACCACTATGGCTATGTAGAGAAAAAGATATAAATGAAATACGACAGGAATAAAAGAGATGGGATAAGTCTGTAAATGTTTTGATATTATATAATAAATTAATTTTTTTGAAAGAAATGTGGCTGCAAGGCAAAGACAAAGTCCAAAAAAGAGTTTAGTCAGAGTCAGTTAACATGAGCATTTTGAACAGAGTTGTACATACACTGTATAATGAATTGTTAAGTGTCTTTTATTGTGTTATGTATTGCTATACTGTATTACAGTGCTTCACATGACCAAGCCAGCTGTCTTTGGAATGCACTATAACTGCTATACGTATCAACGAAACCGTGTTGCATCCTGTCTGTGATCACTAGAGGTATGAGCGCACTCGACAGTCAGTCTCATACAAAGACTGAAGCTGGACTGATGTTAAAAATTCTTCTCATTGACCAACAGAGATGTTAAGAAAGACATCTGCTCACTTTGGAACCAACATGTGCTTTATATCCCCAAAAAAGTGACAATCAAAATTGCCATTGAGAACAAAAGACTATTTAAATTGCTTCTGCATAATGTGCAAAGTTTTGATTGTCAGGAAAAAAAGGCAAAGTTGCTTGCAAGATGGTTTTTATATAATAGTTGATATGAGTGATTTCTAACTGTATCTCACTACATGGCAGGCTTATAAGGTAATATGTTTGTTAAACAGACTCCTGAGTATGTTCTTGCATATTCATTCACCTGCTATGTTGCATTAATTATTTGTTTTTCTGCTCATTTGCCTTCACTTCTTGCCTTGTCTATGAGTCAACTGGCTAACACTTGTTACTTGTGTTAATGGAAAGGTGTGGTGCAGATCCAGGATGGCGTAATAACAATGACATATTGTTCCATGACTTGTTTTTGCAAAGAAAAATGAAGGATAATGTTTTCAATCGGAGTCCTGGGCTCCTGACACTATATAATATTTTAATAACAGAACACGTCCACAAATTTGTGTCCTTTGGATAAATTAGATTACATTTTGTTAAAATGAAATGTATGTTGGTGTTTGGCTAGTTTTACTGGACTTTCTTTTCCTTCAGGCAACGTGCCTGTGTAGATGATTGTATCAGCCAATCATAGCTACATATAGATCAAAACATTTGGATGTGGTAAACGGAAAAAATATTGTTAATAAATGTTGCTCTATTGAAATGGTTATGGGAAGAGTTGTGTTAGAAAGTTCTCCTGGTGAGAGATGATGGAAATCATTTTTATTTGAAATGAGACCGAATTACTTTTTCACTAACTGGTGTTGGTATTTTTTTTGTTTTCTTTTTGTTTTTCCTTTTTGCACTGCATGGAGGCAATGAGCCCCATTATTCATGTGAAACACTAAGAGTGAATGTCGTCCAGCCTCCGATGGCACAGTGTCATGGATGACCTCAGAGTGGTGCTACTGGCTTTCTATAGAATGGAAGAAAAGACTAATCTCATGGGAGGTTTTACCATGAACTGAATACTCACCGCATTGTTACGCAAACTGAAGCTCAAAAAAGTATTGTCACTATTTATAGCAGCCCTCCACAAATAAGCATTAATTCTGTTGTGTTTTCGTCTCGTGTATTTTTTTAATATACTTTATTTTTGTACATAACTTTTTGTTGTGTTTTTTGTTTTTCAAAGAAGGGAACAGTGTTGTACTAAAGGCTGTGCAGTGTTTCTCTGTCCTGAGTCGGCTGAAATAAAGTCTGTGGAACAAGATTGTGTGTGTGTGTCTTTTTACAAAGGAGAAAACAAGAAGTCAGACTGATGCCATTATAGGACGCTAATAAAATCAGACATGAGACCTACAAAATAAATGTTTACAACTGGGATGTAAAAGCTGCCATATTGTATATCTATAACATTTTCACTGATTAATAGAAACTAAAATCTAGAGGGTTGTCTGAACGGATTAATAATAATTTCCAGTAAAAAAAATCAGCTGTAAATAAAATATATTTAGATAGAATTAAGTATATATTTGTTTTGCTGTCACTTTAATTTTACAGTGGGCGGTAACCTGAACACTACTGGCTGGAGCTGATTGGCCAGAACACCAGGAAGTGCGGTGCTCTTCCTGTGTTATTATCTGTGCTTATTATCACTGCACAATAATTTAGCCATTTAACGTTAGCGTCAATGTGCAGAAGAAGCCTTTGCTGATTGCTGTCAATTAAAACACGGTAAGTTGTGTTATTTCTTTAAAGCAGATGATGACACTGACAGCCGCTCAGCTGCAGGGAAAGTGCAGTAAAAGAGCCACAGTGCTAGCATTGCTGCTAGAGGCTAATGTGGCGTTAGTGCAGTTTAGCAATGATGCTAACGTTGGATAAAATGGCCAATGGAAGTGTTTGTCCCGCTGCTACACACACGGTTCAGCTGCATTTGCCTCCTAACGTGGTCCTCCCGACTGATTTTGTTCCACAGCAAACTAACGAGGCGGAATCCTGAGAGTGACAACACGAAAGATGAAATCTGTCAAAAAGAAATCTCGGCTCAACAAAGCAAAGAAAGAGGAGACGCAACACTATGAGGTCATTGTGAAATCTGAGACAGAGCCAGGGCTGGGGGGTGAGCTGGAGGCAGGCGAGGAGGTTTACACGAACGGAGATGGTCTCAACATCCGAATCAAGGAGGAGCCACATGCGCAGGAGATCTGCGAGGAGGCAGGAGGCGACACGTCGAGCTGTCCAGGCATCAGACCTGACTCTGTGACATCCTGCTCAGATGTTCAACATCTGCAGGGACACGTGAAGGACGAGTGCGACTCTCCTGACCATCAGCCAGGGTGTGAACCTACCGGAGCTGCCGTCAAGCAGGAGGCAGAGTCGTGGATTAAAGAGGACAGCGACAGCAAGGAGGAGGAGGCAGGCAACATCCAGGAGGATTATGAGGAGAAAGAGGAGGTCTCCACAGGTGGGAGTCAGTTCATGACAAGCACACACAACCTGGATGTTTTTGGTTGCATGAATGAATGAAAGACATGAGTTGCAAGTGTAAAAGTGCTTCACAGTTGCATCTCTAATAACATTATAGTCAGAAACAACTTAGAGATAATCTACATATTTTACTTTAAGAGAGGCATGTCCTAACAATTTGCAGTTCTGCATAAATGCATCTCAGATTGTTTTTATGGACTTCAGACATTTAAGCCTAAAAAACTTCTCAATGACACTAAGGTAAACAACTGATTATATGGCCCTAACATCAGGTGATCCCTGACATCTGCTGGTGGTTGACAGCTTATCATAAAACTAGTGTTTGTTCTACAAAAAAACAATAATCAACCACAGAACAGGGAAGTGTATAACCATAAATTCTTCCTTTCTTTAATCATCTCTCCTCTCTGTGTTTATGTGTATTTCTCTCCTTCTTAGAGTCATCGTCTGACTTCTTTCCCTGTCCTCACTGCACCATCTCCTTTACTGACTTGGACTTCCTGGAAAAGCACGTCAAGTGGGTCCATCAGAAAGAGTATCTCGACAAACTGAAAAAATGCCTCTCAAGCCGCACGATAAATCTCATTCCCAAACACAGGTGCACTGTTTGCAGCAGCACCTTTAACTCTAAAGTAAAACTTAGACTACATGTAAGTGAAGTCCATCCTTCTGCCCCTCCGCGCAGGCTCCATCCCTGCCCAACCTGTGCACGTAGCTTCCAGTACCTGAAGAATCTGAAGAATCACTGTCAGCGCTGGCACAACATGTCTGTGGTTACCCGAGGGGGGCATCTGAGCTGCGCTGACTGTGGGAAGAGTTTCAAAGCTACCTGGGGCCAAGGGCCTCATTTGTGTCATGAACCAGTTAACACAGAACCTGAGGACAAGCCAATCTGTCTGGACACTGGTGTGCAGTGTCCCAAATGTGGCAAGAAGGTGCGCACACCTCAAAGTCTGGAGGATCACATGCGCACCCACACAGGTGACCGGCCATTTGTCTGTAAAGATTGTGGCAGGAGGTTTGTAGAGCACAGTGGTTGGCGGCAACACATGAAAATACACACCGGGGAGAAGTCATTCAAATGTCAGGTGTGTGGGAAAACCTTTTCAAGATCGCATCACCTCAAGTCCCACTTAACGACACACTCTGGCAAGAAGGAATATTCTTGCTCTGAATGTGGAAAGGAGTTTGGATTCAAGTCAAGTCTGGTTCTCCATCTCAGGACACATTCCACTGAGAGACCCTTCCACTGCAATGTGTGCGGGAAGAACTTTAACACCCCGAGAAATCTGAGGGTTCACACCAAACTCCACACCAATGAGAAAGCTCACCAGTGCGGCGACTGTGGGCTGAAGACTGTAGATCTCGGGGCATTGAAAATACACCTGCGGACACACACTGGAGAAAGGCCTTACCACTGCACAGTCTGTGGAAATAGGTTTATTCGCCTTGCACATTTGCGAAATCACCAACGCACCCACACTGGTGAAAGACCCTACAAATGCACCGAATGCGACAAGAGTTTCACTCAGTCCGGCGACCTGGTGAAGCATAAACGGATACACTCTGGGGAAAAGCCCTTCGAATGCCCAGAATGCAACCGCCGATACACTACCTCTGGCGATCTGGGCAAGCACAGGAGGAGTCATTCTAACCTGCGTCCCTACACGTGTCAAGAATGCGGGAAAAGCTTTCGTTTGTCAGGGCATTTGAAAACTCACATGTTAACGCACACGGGGGAGAAACCGTATTCCTGCCCCAACTGTCTCCGCAGGTTTGCTCGCTCTCACCATCTTTCTGGACATGTGGCTAAATGTCGCTGAATGTGTTTGAGAAGCCTGCAAATAGTCTAGTCCTGATTTAATCTTGTAATAACGGGAGCTGTAGAGATTCTACTACTACTTTATGTTTATGAATGTGTTAAAGTAAAAACTCATATTTGTAGATTATTATTTAAATGACGTTTCTGTAACCTTCGACTAAGATGACTTTTGTAACTTATTAAAACACATGAATCAGTCTGTTATTGCATGGAACTTATTATAGTACTATCCCAGCTCTTGTTTGAATTTTCTTTTTACTAGAGTAGCTTTAGACTGGTTGTGCAAAACACTATTATAATGGAGGCTTGAAGAAGTATGCGGCAGAGCTCAGTGGGACATGCATACAAGGGGTTGTTGATGAATGCTGTACTATCTGTAAAAAATAATAAATTATTGGATGAAAGCATGAACACTGTGTGTAATGTGTTTACACACAGGAGAGATCAAATTATTTTAAGCATTTGTGCATATTTGAAATGTCCACAATAAGGATGAACATAAACTTTGGATTTAAAAAATTGACGTTTGTTGATCTTCATGAATAGGTGGGATTTTCTTTGAAAATAATTGAAATGATTAAGTGATTCTCATGATAGTTTACAACTCATTTTCTGTGATTAATTACAAGTTATTCAAAAATACTTAGCTTTGTTCTGAAGGTATTTCCAGATTTCCTAAAGACCCTCTGGATGAAACGAAACTAGGCTCTCAGTAAAGACCATACCGCTGGCAGGCAGAACAATCCTACACATAATTGTCTTCTTCTTATTATAGTAGAAATAGAAAAAAAAATGAAGTGGTCTGATGACCTAAATTATAAATAATACATTTCAAAAATTATCATAGTCACAAGAGCAATTAAGGATAATAATCTAACATAGTAATCTTGCAAACAAAGAAAGTAAATAACTAACCAACAAACAAACTAATCAACAAATCAACCAACCAACCAACACACAAACAAGCGGACAGGGGTGAAAACCAGAGACTGTATATAAAGAGTGAACACATGACCCCCTCGGTGGGTTAATGCTCTGGGCCCATTCAAACTATTTCCTGGGTCACAAGGTCACAACCTCCTGGGTCGAAATCAAAACAAAGATGGCCGCCCCCCGGAAGTAGGCAGGAGTCAACAGCCGAGAACCAGGATTACTTTTTCAGTTCCCGACGTGGACATTGTACCGAAGTGCCGAGAAGAGTCTTCGTGGGACCTGAAAACACGGTGAGAGCAGTGGAAAGTGATAAATAACCTCAAACACCTTCAGGAACCTTCTAATGGAGACGCAGTAACACATGCTAATGATGCTAACACCTGTGGCTGCGGTCAATTAACGTGACTGCGCCGACAAGCTAGCGACCAACACACTGGGTTTACTGCTACATTGAGCTGTTAGCTTTTTGAGAGGTTAGCGAAGATGGCGCCCTTTAGGGACAAGTTTGAAGTTCGACTGAAAGGTTAGGTTTGCTGAAATTACCGCAAAAACTCAACGGGTTCAATCGCAATGATAATTATACAATAAATACGTGTTTTTTAAATAGAGATTTTCATTGCTAAAGTGGTGCACATCTGTAAAACTCTTAATAAACATTAAATGAATGTAAAGGGAGTAAAAAGTTCACTTGCAAAGGTCTTAATTAATTTGACCAGCTGTAGGTGGTGATGTGTTGTCTTTGAATGTGGGTTGTCAGGAACATTACGTGCTACAGAAGCTTTGGCGTTATAATCTTATAATGAGAAAGTGTTTACGGGCAAAGTGAGCGAATTCAATTAAATACATCCTCTAATTTGATGATTATTTCCTCCATCCATTTATTGCAGTTTGTCTGGGTCCAAGTCATAATGATTGAATTCATAAAACCATTAGAAATTAGAATATTATACAGCTGAGAAGCACTGAATACATGTAATTATAGTAATACATTAGGAACAGAATTAGGAATATCAGCCCAGCTAGATTTCCATCACACTCTGTATTTTGTATGATTGTGAAACAGGTATTACATTTATTATATCATTAGAAATTAGAATATTATACAGCTGAGAAGCACTGAATACATGTAATTATAGTAATACATTAGGAACAGAATTAGGAATATCAGCCCAGCTAGATTTCCATCACACTCTGTATTTTGTATGATTGTGAAACAGGTATTGCATTGAATAATCCTCATTCTGAAAGTGAAGCTGTGTATATATCATGTACATTCACTATATTCTGTCTCACAGTCTGCTCTTACAAATTAAGGGGAAACATATCTATACATTCATATAATTCACCATGTTTATCGACACACAAGTCTAAGATTTCAGTCCGAGACTGTGAATTGGCCTCCTCAGTTTGTCACATAATCAATAAGCTTATTTCTGTATTTAAAATGAATTGAGCGGATGTGACACATTTACACAGAAAAGCAGTTGGTTCACACTCGCATCCGAGTGGCCTCCGTAGCTGCGTGCATGATGTAAAACATTATTTTGTAAAAGCATTAAAGTGATCCGAGTGATAGTAACGGATCACAATGTTATGTATCCTTTTTAAAGCAGACTTACAGCAGGATAAAGATAAAATCTGATATTTAGAGACTATGAGTTACATCTTGGTAATTTCTCCAAGACACACCAAGGATGATATGGCAGTTAAATTGCAGCCTCTGAGAACACAGCAGTTCTGCTTAAGAGACTGCATGATTTTTATTCCCAAGCATTTGGTATAAATGTCTTCAATAGCCTTTAAGGTAATAACAATGCGACAAGTCTCTGTATGTTAGCAAAAAACAGGTGATATGAAGTCCGGCTCACTCTACTGGTATTCTAATCAAATGTTGTGAAATGGAGTGCACATGTAAAAAAGATCACCAACTGTGTTGTTTGCTGGCATAGTAGCAAGTGTTTTGGTGAACTTGCACTGATTTCTGGCTTCCCTCACTGTAGATGATCTCCTCTGCACTGACGAGGAAGGCAGGAGTTATGACCCAGGATCCTGAAATAACTGAACACACCAAGGAGAAGAGGGTGGATAGGATGTTCAGCCTTGCTCTTTGTGGAGGTATATTCCCTGAAATAAAGACAATGAATTATACCAAAAGGGAACCTGGGTGAAGCAAAAACAACACCTCACAGTTAGTGATACACACAACCTTATTAATATTATGATCAGGTCTGCAAGAGAGGACGAGGACACATTGAAAAGCTGCAATGATGCTGACTGTTAAAAAGTCACATTGGAACAGAAGACCCTCAGATGCAAAAAATCTGCTGTGTAACAAAGTTTTGGAATTGCAAATTTGCAGGCCTGGAGGCATTTGTCAAAGGAGCGACTGAGCCACGCTTAACTGGGCACTATGAGGCAACATCACAAGCTGAGGAGTCGAATGCGACACAAGTAAGCCACCTCACATCTAATCTTTCACTAATCCTGCTCAGTGCAACTAGATGCATCATTGAAGAGTTTTTTAAGCTTGTTTTTATTCATTAGAATATTAATTTCTTGCTCAGACCAGTACAGATTTATTTTAAGGATTCAGTTTTGGTAACAATTTCCATTTTATGTGGAACTTATATATAACAAATATTTTAATGCTGGAAACAAAATCCTTTGGTTGTTGTTGTTAAAATAAATTACTCTCATGTGGTTTACCCCTAATCAATCTAAACTTGTTACTTGTTAACACACAACGACAAAGCAAAATCAAACAAATTTTGTTTATTTTTGGGAAATGTATTCAAAAGGAAAAACTGAAATATTGCATTGAATTAGTTCGTTTTACGACTAAGTTTTGTGGTTATCCATCCAGTAGTTTTTGTGTTATGCTGCTAACATATAGACTGACAAACAAGCGCAGATGAAAACATAACCTCCTTGGCAGACGTAGTAATTTATACAATTTTTTCATCCTGAATTTACACAAATACCCACTGAGTTCAAATACTTGCAGAGCACTTCCCCACACAGTTAATATGGTTCACTAATAGTTAAAGAGGGTGAGTAATAAATACATTTATTATTTATGCAACCCTTGCTGCCTACGTTGCAAAGCAAAAAGGAAGAAATGTTGATGGTAGTTGCAGTTTGTTCTTTTTCTTTTTTGCTGCTCCTTTTACACAGCATGATTCACTACACACAATGAGAAACTGTACTTTTAGATTTGTTGAAATTGTTTTTTAACACGTTTGACAGATGTAAATGTAAAAAAAGTT